TGTATTATATATATATCTGTGTGTGTGTGTGTGTGTTTGTGTATGTATATATATATCTGTGTGTGTGTGTGTGTGTTTGAAATGCCCTTGTATGCCTTTTTGTTCGTTTTCAGGAGGTGTGTGTATACTTCTGCTGGTCATATTTCTTGGATTTACGTTAATTAGACTTCTTTAGACATTTTAATATAATTACACGTACTTATATGCATCTGCTCGTCTCAAAGTACGTATATGAGTACATCTACATAGTATCAGGCAGTTATCAGTCAAAACAAATATGTAAAGTCAATTACAGTTCTCGCAGTCTTGTTTATCTCTCAGGTGTATTCGCTCGGATGCAGACGAATAATTATCCTGGGTTTTATAGTTGGCGGTGTATACATGTGTGCCCGTGTGCTCTGTAGTCCGTCGACGTTTAATATACAGAATCGCTCAAGATCTACTGACCGTCAGAATTAATATATCAGGTGTACTGTGCGCATGTCGTTGCCGCATGTCGTTGCTTGCCTATCTGAGCGCACTCGCCTGGGCACCTTCATTTTGCTAATGAAGCTGGATGGCATGCGTTCCTTCTCTGTTGGTCAAGATTCTGTTAGGCTGATACAGTTCACTTGTAGGATAGATTGGGCGCCGGTATGAAGGTTTGCTCACTAGGCCATCCTCTGATGTTTCATTGGGCAGTATTGGGCTTAGTGTAGAATACAGGATCAGCACTAAATATGTAGCAAAAAAATTGTTACAGGATGCGAAGGATACAGTGACACAGTGGGAGGACGGTTGGGATGATGATAACATCGAAGACGATTTTTCTCAGCAACTCAAGTGAGTGGTGACGTTAGTCTGTTCGCAAATAGTCATGTGTGTGCTTCATCCTGGCGTCATTGCGATGAGTTTATTATCGTAGAATATTTGCTGGTTACTCACTCACTTGAGCAGCATATACTGGCCGGCTCGCTCTTTTCTAAATTGGATCACCTGACATGTGTATTAGCTTCCTTTGTATCTACTTGAACGCTTTTTCCTAGAGTGTTCTCGTGAAAATAAAGCCACTTCCTAATTTTCCATTCGTTATTTCCCCTCTCAGAGCGGAACTGGAGAAGGCCAATCATATGCAGGCGTAGAATATGCTCAGTGAATAATGGATAGGTCATCCGATTTTCTCAATTTATGATGTGAAGCGCAATGGCTCTGGAAGCTTAAATTAAAGCAGCTGAATGGTTGCGGCTTGCAGTGTAGCACGCCCTCGGCCCGTACAAAAGGAATAATCCTCCAGCTGGAATGAAATACCTCTCAGGGGTTGTGTGTCAGCTCTAAAACCAAAGCTCGAAGCGCTCGCGAATAAACTTCAAACTTCAGTAATCAGAAAGTGCTGCTTGTTGCCTCTGAGGGGTGTTGGGGATTTTTAATTGTCCTGCTGTATTCCGTCCTTCGGACAACAGTCCGATCAGGCAAATTATGTTTATTTCTTCTCTAGAGGGTCATGGTATCCCGTTTGCCTTTGTCTTCCTCGCGAATCGAATACCAACCTTTCGTTGTTCATGTCTGCTACATACCGACCTTTTATCTCTACTCTTGCTATTTTTCGCATTTTAGGAGTATCTGGCACATGGAACCTGTACAATTGTAGATGACATTATATACGCATAGTGCGACATAGCTATTTTATATCAGAGTCCGGTAGACTGCAAATTGAAGAATAACTGTGTTTTAACCCTTTAAGCCTTATATAACACACCCATTAGTCGCAATAAATCATGATTGGATGTAGGACCTGGCGATTTCGACATCGATATTTCCATCATGGTTAATAAGACGAATCCTTATAAAATATTTTGTTTCAATTTGGAAGGCAATCTATTTGTGCAATAAACGATCACTCATGTTTGTGTGCTACATAGTACATGCAGAGGGTAGTTTTGGCGGGTAAAAACATGCACCATCCCTTTTTTTTATAGTTAGATGTGTATTCAATATATAAATATATTATAAATAGCATGTTTTTTTTTTTGGTTAGATGTGTATTCATTATATAAATGTAAATAGTATGTATGTATCCCTTCACCCTTGTGGCCTTTCGACAAGACGAGACCTGGAAACATCAACAAGTGGGATCTTTTGCCTTTCAATTCATTATATAGAGTCTGTACTATTCTAGCACCTTTTCATATATTTCCTTGTGACAGGCAGGCAAGTAGTGTGCACGGCTTCAAGCGAGTACAACGCGAAAATGGAACTAGTTGCGATGGATGTAGATGCACCCGTTCAAAACAATACAGATGAGGTTGCAGAACCAGCTGAAGGCGAAAGCGCACAGCCTTTGGCAGAAGTGACCAAGAAACCCAAGAAACCGGGGAAAAAAAAGGTGGAAAAGGTATGCTTAGCAAATCGTGGATGGAGACTACTGGGAAGTACATTAATTACCATCACACCTCTTCTAGTTTAGCTATGCTCTACTCTATCGAACATGAGTTATTAGATGCAGATCCTTTTACGAAAATGTACAGCGGGTACAGATATGACTGTATTTAGAGGACGCCCTCATTCCACCGTGAGCACCGCAAAAGTATAAGACTTTGGTATTAGAACATGTGGTTTAAAGTGATCTACCCTACTGGCGCTGATGTCCATACCCTATACTTTATATGCTCATCAACCCACATGTATAACGAACTTACATATACCACTTCATACTGGGCTACGTAAAAATTATTAATATA